TACACGTTTCAATGGCTAAACAGCATTTTCTGTCAAGACTTACACGATTTATGAGGTATCCTTACACAGAGAGAAAGCGAAGCTTTTCACAGTGAAGGGCCATAAAACCCTGGCTAACAGTTAGAATAACCCTTTCAATGCTGGCTAGACCTCCTAGGTAATTAAGATCTATTCTTATGTAATTTTAAATAAAATAACATTTAAACCAGTTCATTAGTCATTTCCTGGAACCATCCAATAAGAGAATCTACCATGATATAAGCAGATTTTAATTCGTCTAAAAGATATCTTATCTTAATTAGAGCAAATCAATACACCTGGATAAAAACAGCGGTATGCTAACACGTGATAATATCACATCAATATATAATTATTCTTAATTCCACCTGCAGAATGGAATGTTTATAACTATATATTCTTTAGTTAACTAAGATTTCTTAATATGGAAATCTGACCGTGATTTATCCAGTCATATCATGCTATTAGTAAATTTTAATTAATTTAATTAATTAAATGAAACCAGTATAATTACCAGTTGAGTAGATATTTCATCCGATTGGTAGATAGTCTCAGGAACTTATTTGGATGTCTCTCTGCATGGAGGTGTATAGGTAATAGTGTCCTATAGTGGATATCTGTCATAGGCCTCTCTGCATTGCTTCCGACTGCTCACTTCTTTGCTTTCTTTGCATACCCTTGCATCCCTCGTCTACCTCCTTTTCTCAACCCTCCTGTCTTCCCTTTGTCCTAACTTTTAAAGGGCCAGACTCTCTGTACGTCATCAATTGATAACCCAATAGAAGCACTAGAGGTGTGCTTACCTAGGGATCGCAATTTAGGTATTTGGTCTATAGAGGGCAGTCTTGTCCCACTAAACATACCTATCCAGGAAAGAGTTAACTTTTCCTGGTGGCTATTTTGACGTCATTTTGCGTTATCTTTATGTTTGCTGTAACTTAGATTTGCTGTCACTTCAAACAGTTTCTTTAAGTTTTGTCCAGACTATGTGTCTGGTAAATTCTGAGTTTTGACCCGTAACTTACAATGGGACCTTATACATATAGAAAATAAAATTTTATTATTTAATCTCCTCTGTCGCCAATGTCTGGGTTTAGAATTGATCTATTCCATTAGCATTTAGACAGTCTATCCAACCCCAGTTCTCCTTATCACTTGGTTTGTATATACTATGCATTCCTTTAGCTCTGGGAACGTGGTTAGTTTTACAGATAGAAATCTTGTGTCTTTTTGTTAACTTGAAAACAACAAAATGGAGTCTGCTCTGTTCAGAGTGACTCAGAATATACACTTTTAATTTCTATCATAGCACAAGATGTCTGCCGATATAAATACCCTGACAGGACAGAGGTAGCAAGTGGTGTCCGTCAGGGTTCTGTTCTGGGACCCCTTCTATTTAACATTTTTATAATATAAAATCTTAAAAAAAACATATAATATGATCTTTTAAAAAGCATTGAAAGCCATCTTTCAGTGTTTGCAGATGACATAAAACTCTATAAAGTAATACAATATGAGCAAGATATTACTTTGCTGCAGAGGGATTTAGGTAGACTAGGGGATTGGGCACTCAAATGGCAGATTAAATTTAATGTAGAAAAATGCAAAGTTGTGCACTTCGACATAAAGAATGCACAAGCAATTTATACCTTTAATGTAACCGAATTAGGGATAACAACATACTAGAAGGACTTGGGAATTGTTGTAGACCACAAACTATGCAACAATGTGCAATGTCAATCAGCACTGGCTAAGACCAGTGAGGTATTGTCATGCATGAAAAAGTACATTAATTCTTGGGATGAGAATATCATTTTGCTGATAAGACCACATCTTGAATATAGGAAAAAAAGTTAAAAAGGTTAGCGCTAATAATAAAAGGAAAAAATGGATAAGGAGGCAGCAGCCTAATAGGGGGTCACCCTCTAACCCTCTATAGTGAAGATGTACAAGAAAACAAAGAAAAGGCTGCGCCAAGATACTAAACAAATAAAATAATACGTAATAAGAAAAAGTCCCAGTATAAAATAGTAAAAAGTAATATAAAATAGTTCCAATATTAAAAGTTGTCCAAACTGGTATGGTGTCTTCTTTGTTAGCAGTCGTCCGTCTCACGATATGAAAGACACAATGGGAAAAGAACCAGTCGTGCAGATTGTATGAATAAGTGATAGTGAAATTAAAATATAAATTGCGCACTCACATTTCCATGAGCTAGGGCTAGCTCTAGTATGATGGGCATACAGCGGATAACCCTCCGCTTATGGGGATGCTTGTCCTCCTGGGGAGTGCTGATGTCCAGTTTTCAAAAGGAGAGAAAAACAGCAAATAGTGCTCTCTGATGAGGTAGTTGATAAAAGGTTAAAAAATAAATAAAATATACTCACAAATAGAGTGCAGTCCTTTCTGCACTCTGTATATCGCGTGGGTGGTATAATCCCCACCTTAGGATATGCCAGGAACAGTAAATGAAGATAAAATAGTAAAAAGGATAAATACTATAAAGAAATTTATTAATATAGAATATTAAAACCAATAACGCTTTTCGCCTTGCAGGCTTTATCAAATTGGGGTAGTGTTAGTACCTGGCACATAGGGAGTATATATAACTTGTGCATAGATTCAAAATTGGCGCCAAAATTGATCACCAATTGGGGCTATGCAAATTTCAAATAAAACATATACAATCAAAAGTTAAAAAATAATGTACAGCATTGATATATTGGAACATACAATGTTATTTATGTGCATATAATATAAAAACGAAAGTTATTTGATGTGTTTAAACCCAAAATAAATAATTCGCGTGCGTCACGTGATCCGCTAAGCACTATGGGATATGTAGTGCCTGGGTCACGTGACCGCACATAGTAGGCAAGTTGTAAGCAGTCCGTGCGGCCAGTACAGAGGGAGGCGGCACGCACGGACAGCAGGGTGGGATCGGGCTATGTCACGTGACCCGCGACGTCACATAGCTCCAATCCCCGCGGGTCACGTGACCGAAGCCGAGAGAATTGTGGGGTTTGTAGTAATAAGCACATAAATTAAAGAATACATAAAATATAATACAATAAGAAGTAAATAAAGTTTAAAAGCAATTGATACAAAATTTGCAGTGTATACTCAAAAAAGACATAAAAAAATCTGCCTTAAGAGAGAACATAAGTACAGCCAAAATTAAATGAATTGCAGAGATAAATAAATAAATGATAAAAGATCAGTTAACTTAAATAGATGGGTCTGTATAGTAAAACCACTTCATAAAAGGATAAATAAAATCCAGAAAAAATGTTATAAATAAATAAATGATAAAAGATCAGCTAACTTAAATAGATGGGTCTGTATAGTAAAACCACTTCATAAAGGCAAATAGATAAATAGAATCCAGAAAAAATGTTATGGGTAAAAAGCAAAACAGTACAGTTATAAAAGTTATAAAAAAAAAATTTTTATAAAAAATTTTGGGCACCTATTCTAAAGAAGGATATAATGGCACTAGAAAAAGTGCATAGGCGGTCTACAAAATTAATAAAAGAAATGGAACATTTTCGCTATGAAGAAAGGTTAACAAATGAAAACTCTTTAGTTCAGGGGCGTACCTAGAGCATTTGGCACCCGGGTCGGATCCTGTGCTTGGCACCCCCCGCCCCCAAAAAAGAAAAATCTGTCAAAAATGTTAAAGGTTTTCTTTCTTTTTTTTTTTTTACAATTTGTAAACTTTGCAAAACCTCTGTCAGTCCCTCCTACAAAACCCTTGTCCTGCCCCACCCCCTCCTACAAAACCTCTGTCCTGCCCCTTCTACAAATCCTGTACTGCCCCGTCTACAAAACCCCCGCAACTCCCTTCCACAAATCCCATGCTTATCCTCCCTTATAAAGACTCCTGTCCCAATACAAAACCCCCGCCCCCTTCTAAAAATCCCTGCAGCCCCACACACACATTTACAGGCAGACAGTCACACACTCAGTTACAGACAGAGAGTCACACACTCAGTTACAGGCAGACTGTCACACACTCAGTTACAGGCAGACAGTCACACACAGTTACAGGCAGACAGTCACACACAGTTACAGGCACACATGCAGTCACAGACAGTCATATATACATTGACACACACACATGACAGCAGCAGACAGTCACATGCACACAGTCACAGACAGTCAGACAGTCACACACGGTTACAGGCAACATCAAACAGTCACACATATACTTTTCCTCCGTGCGGCCAGTTTACCAGCTGTTTGCTTGTGTGAGCTGTACTGGCCGCACGGCACCCTAACTACCATGGGGCACTGTGCGGCCACAGCTCACACAGCCCCCTCCAGTCAGGGCCGATGCAAGGATTTTTGCCACCCTAGGAAAAAGTAAAGTTTGCCGCCCCCCCATGTGACATCACAATGCCCCCCATATGATCTGCCATGTTAACTAACGCCCAGGGCCGTCTTTAACGCGGGGCAAATGGGGCAGCTTCCCCGGGCCCAGTTTCTCTTGGGGGGCCCGAGGCACCTGCCCCGTGGGCCCCGCTGACCCCGGCGGGCAGGAAGGCGGGCGCGCGAGGGAGCACTCACTGCTTCCTCTTCAGCTCCCTCGCGCACCGCACTGATGCCGGAGCCGGAAGATGACGTCATCTTCCGGCGCCGGCATCCCTATGCGGCGCGGGAGGGAGCTGAAGAGGAAGCAGTGAGTGCTCCCTCGCGCGACCGCCTTCCTGCCCGACCGGCCACCCGCCCAGGAGCCCAGCAGCACCACTGGACCCCAGGGAATCCCCCCAGCACTCCAAAAGGTAAGGAGGCTGGGGGGATTACATTTAAAAAAAAAAATGTGTGTTAGTGTGTGTTTGTGTATGTGTGTGTTAGTGTGTATGTGTTTGTGTGTGTGTGTATGTGTGTGTTAGTGTTTGTGTGTTAGTGTATGTGTGTGTTAGTGTTTGTGTGTTAGTGTATGTGTGTGTTAGTGTATGTGTGTGTTAGTGTATGTATGTGTGTTTGTGTGTGTTAGTGTATGTGTTTGTGTGTTAGTGTATGTGTGTGTTAGTGTATGTATGTGTGTGTTTATGTGTGTTAGTGTGTGTGTTAGTGTATGTATGTGTGTGTTTATGTGTGTTAGTGTGTGTGTTTGTGTGTTAGTGTATGTGTGTTAGTGTGTGTGTTAGTGTATGTGTGTTAGTGTATGTGTGTTAGTGTGTGTGTGTTAGTGTATGTGTGTGTGTGTCAGCATGTCTGTGTGTGTGTGTCAGTATGGCTGTCTGTCTGTGTGTCAGTATATATGTGTGTGTATATCTGTGTGTGTCAGTATGTCTGTCAGTGCGTCAGTATGTCTGTTAGTGCATGTGTATGCATGTGTCAGTATATCTGTCTGTGTGCCAGTATGTCTGTGTGTGTGTGTGTCAGTATATCAGTCTGTGTGTGTCAGTGTATGTGCCTGTGTGTGTGTGTCAGTATTTCTCAGTGTATGTGGGTGTCAGTATATCTGTCAGTATATCTGTCAGTGTGTGGGTGTCAGTATTTCTGTCAGTGTATGTGTGTCAGTATGTTGATCAGTGTATGTGTCTGTGTGTGTGTGTCAGTATGTCGGTATATGTGTCTGTGTGTCAGTATGTCTGTATATGTGCCTGTGTCAGTATGTCTGTCAGTACGTCTACCAGTGTATGTGTCTGTGTGTGTGTCAATATATGTACCTGTGTCAGTGTGTCTGTCAGTGTATGTGCCTGTTTATCTGTATGTAGTCAGTGTATGTATCTGTGTATCTGCTTGTGCGTCAGAGTGTGTACCTGTGCATCTGAGCCGCAACTTTAAATACAAATACACCCCTCCATTCAAACTTCAACACTACATATAAAACACACTCCTGCATTGAAACGTCAACACTACATACAAGCACACTCCTACATTCAAAAACAAACACTACACATAAATGCACACTTGCATTCAAACTCCAGTACCACATACAAACACATTCACACAAACATACTCCATACAAACACATGCTTACATTCAAACATACTAACATGGCTCAGTGCTAAATACAACCCTGCAAGCATGGGAAATTGATAGAGTCCCAGCTGTCAAAGCATTGTTGGAGTTGCACGACAGATGGGGTTCTACCTTTAGTCCAACCTTGCAATTGGGGGTCCCAATAAAATTCATTCTACTTTAGTACCGCCACTGCGTTGGGATGGATGCCGTGATTGCATACCAGGGAGTGAGGGGCGAGAGCAGCAGGGCACAGGGGGCCCAAGCAAACACTTGCCCAGGGTCCATTCGTTATTAAAGACGGCCCTGCTAACGCCAGTGCTGCAGTGCCACTGTGTTTACATTAAAAGGCCTGCAGGGACAGGCTATAGACACCAGAACCACTACATTAAGCTGCAGTGGTTCTGGGGACTATAGTGTTTCTTTAATGTGTGGTAAATTAGAGCTTAGTGCCACGAATAATATACTAGATTGCCTACTTACAACCAGATGATGATGGGCTCTAGCTGCAGTCTGGCTCCACTGGTCTGATGTCAATGTTCTGGGAGAACGGGAAGCAGCTCCATTTTTTGGGAGCCCTTTACACAGCTCAAGGTCTGGGTCCCAGGGTCCACCTTCATGTTCCACCAATGAGTTTGTTCACAGGGGGTGGAGTGTGTAGGGGATGTCCTGATATGTGTGTAGGGAATGCATTGTGTGAATCTGAGTTTGTATGTGTAAGGGCTGCAAGGTGTGTTTCTGTGAATGTACAGGATGCAGTGTGTGCGTGTGTAAGGGATGCATTGAGTGTGTGTAATGCATTGAGTGTGTGTAGCATTGTGTGTTTCTGTGTGTGTAAGGGATGCATTGTGTGTAACGGTTGCATTGCTTGTGTATGTGTGTCTGTGTGTGTAATGCATTGTGTGTGTAATGCATTGTGTGTGTTTTCTGTGTTCAAGTGGTGCATTGTGTGTGATGAATGTCAATCTCTCCCCCTTCAATTTTCTTCTCGTCCCCTCTCAATTTCCTTCTCTCCCTCCCCTCAATTTCCTTCTCCCCCCCTCTCAATTTCCTTCTCCCCCCCTCCAATTTCCTTCTCTCCTCCCCTCTCCAATTTCCTTCTCAGTGCACTCAGTGCACACTTCCTTTTAGTCCGGCCGGGTAAGGAGACAGATGCTCCCTGTACCCACGGACCATAGAGGGCTCGGCCACGCTACAGTGAGGGAGTGACAGGAGGGAGCACTGAGGTGGGGAGGGGAATTGAGGAGGGAGAGGAGGGGAGCTGACGCACAGATGAGAAATCATATTATGCGCAAACAGAGAAGTCGTCTGAATATCACCGAAAGAGGAGACTATTGGTTACACGTACTCTTACCGTAGTACTCTATCACTGCTTTATAAGATATATGGTGTATGTGAGTGTCAGTATATAATATCTATAAGGATACCCGTAACTATTTAACAATAAATTTAGTATTATCAAATCATGTAAGAACTGAGTTATGCTAAATAAGTATATCAATATTTAATGTATAAATGAATCGATAGCATAAAAACACACTATAAAAACATACTCTTATACATAAAAAAGGGTGTCTCTAAAATCCAATGCCATAACACAGATAAAAATAACTACGATCCCACAAATTCAAACCAACACGCAGCTACAATGTATCAGTTCAGTGTAGCAAGGAATAATATAATACATAAAAAAACGATCAGTGTAACAAAAATCAATATAAGACATAAAAAGCAGCGTTCTCCAAGAAGTAGTGGTTATGGTAGGGTTGTTCCTGATCCCAATTCTGTAGAAAAAACAACTGTGACTGGAATACCCCTAAGATAAACACAGATCCACTAAACAATGATCTCGGAGGAACACTGACATATAACCATCACAATGGTTATACCAAATAAAAATATGTACACCATACAATAAAAAGTACAACAAAAAGGCTGCTCGCTGTTTAGGCAACATGCCCCTACTTGTGGCAGGATTTAACTTCCCTTTTATTAATATGAGGGTCATAGTGACCCCCATAGGTTTTAATGCAGGGACAGGGGTAGGAATTGTTAATATTTTTACAAGGAGGGAGATGGTAGTGCTGCTGGCTCCCTCCTTGCTTTTTTCTTTTTTTTTTGGCGCATGCGCAGTGTTATTTTCGTCCCAATGGATGAAAACAAATTCTTTTTTTTACCAAATTTCATCAGAAAAACAAAAGTTTTATGGACGAAATTCAGAATGGACGAATTCAATTTTTATTTAGTACAAATTGATTCGTACGTAACGAAAATTTCACTGGTGTACATGTCTAATGATAACATTATACAAATATATCCGGGCCCAATAAAAACCATTGTGTGGAAATCTATTCACAAACAGGACTATACATAGGACACGAGGTCATGCGTTTAGACTGGAAGAAAGAAGATTTAGTCTAAGGCAAAGGAAAGTTTTAAGCAATAAAGAAGTGGAATTCTCTGCCTGAAGAAGTTTTTTTAATCAGAGTCTGTACAGATGTTTACACAGCAACTAGATGCATACTTGCAAAAACAGAATATTCAATTATATAATCTTTCAACTATAGGGTAATAGCTTCTTGATCCAAGGACAAATTTGACTGCAATTCTGGGGTACAGAGGGAATTTTTTTCCTAGTTTGTTGCAAAATTGGAATGCTTCAAACTGTTTTTTTTTTGCCTTCCTTTGGATCAACAGGAAAAAAACAAATGCAAGGAAGGCTGAACTTGATGGACACATGTCTATTTTCAGCCTATGTAACTATGATCTGCGACTCTGCACCTGGCAGAGCTGCAGATCGGAAACTGTGCTGGGCTCTTTCTCCACCCATATAGACTAAGTGGAGGGATCCTGCAATTGGCAACATACCGGGCATGACCTAAAGCCCCCTTCCAGTCTTATGCTTTAGGTCATGGACTGAGGTCCGAGGACCCAACGGATCAGTGTGCATCAAAGTGAGTAAGGTGGCTAAGTCAGTGCGGAAAAAAACAAAACACATTTTATAAGTGAATTTCAATAATATTTTAATGGTGTAATTTCCAGAAAAGGGAGAATTCTGTTTTAACAGTAGGACCCAGCAGTTTCTTTAGTGTTCAGAATTTCCAGATGGTTTTATTATATAATTATTAGAATCTATATAACACTGACATGTTATTGCATCACCTTACAATGTTACAAAGGGTTTGTAATCAATCAATTAAGCGAGAAGAAACAAGTATATGCAGGAACAAAATGCAAAGAGATTTCTGACCAAGCCAGTTTGCAATCTAGAGTCAAATGTTATTTAGATTAGGAAAGCGGAAACTGCAAACTCTGATCTGTGACTTGCAAAATGTAATGTCCTGCAATATTTGTTCCCAATGAATATTCAGAAATAATGTAATATTTATGCTAAACACTTAACTTGCATGTGACGTGTCACGCCAATGGTGCATAATTCATTTTTGCACTATAGAATATTGCTATCCAAGGTGAGTTGTCTAGTACATACATGACTTGGTCTGAAAACACAAGGTTCACCAATTGTTCACCAATTGTTCCTATAGTTACGCCTTCCCTCCACCCATACCACCTATGGGCCGACTTGGAAACTTGCAGAAGGCATATATACAATGATATGTAAATGTCTAGTGTGCTTACAAGCAGGGCCGGACTGGCCCACCGGGATACCGGGAAATTTTCTGGTGGGCCGTCGGCACCTGGGGCCGGGCAGACACCTGGGTCTGCTGGCGTCCGCATGGGGAGGTCTGACGGCAGCCGCTGGGGGAGCTGTTCTGTCTCTGCTCCCCAGCGCGCAGCTAAATGAGACTGGGGCCGGAATATGATGTCATATTCCGGCCCCGGTCTCATTAAGCTGCACGCGAGGGCGGGGCAGCAGAGACAGAACAGCTCCCCCAGCAGCCACCATCAGACCTCCCGCTGCGGCTGCCAGCAGACCTCCCTCTGCAGCCATCAGACCTCCTCAGCGGCCGCCATCAGACCTCCCTATGCGGCCACTAACACACCCAGCCAGTCACCCACAGGTAATATGTGTCATTCTGTCAATGTGAGTGTATGTGTGTGTATCTGTCTTTCATGGTGTGTGTCTGTGTCATGATGTGTGTGTGTCTGTTTCATGGTGTGTGTGTCTGTGTCATTGTGTGTGTCTGTGTCATGGTGTGTCTGTGTATGTGTCATGGTATGTGTGTGTGTCTGTGTCATGGTGTGTGTCTGTGTCATGTTGTGTGTCTGTGTCAT